TATAACGACAACAAAAAATGATAATATAAAAAGATTTTATTTTTTACCAAATCAGCTGCAACCATGGTCCTCTCCCTCGATTCTCTCTGGCCATGGTTCACCCATTACTCTATCTCTGTCCGTCTGTCCCTCCTTCTCTCACTCTGGCCTACTACTTTCCTCTCTCTGTCCGAACTCCTTTCTCTCTCTCTCTCTGGCCTGGGACTTCTGCCTACACGTCCGCCCTCTTTCCCAACTGCGTCCTCCTCTCTTCCAGCAGCTGGTTTATGGCCTTGTCTATGGTGGAGGCCAGCAGTCCCGCTAGGGCTCTAGTGATCTCTAAGATCTTTGCTGTTAGATCCTCGTCACCGCCCTTCTCCTTCATCTCTCTGTCCTTGACCTCTGCTGATGAGGTCTCCTCCCTTGTTGGCTTCCTTGCCTCGGTCTCCTCTCGTTTGTTGACCCGCTCGACTCGGTCAACCACCTCTCGACCTCTCCTTGCGTATGCCTCTGCACAACGCGGGCAAGTCTCGACCGTCACCAATCGACGACCACAATTTAAGCAATATGGCCATCTTTTGGTGTTCGGACAAGCCTCCAACTTGTGGTCGAACCTCCAACACTGGAAACAGGCATATGGCGGAGGATCGATTGCGCTCACCGTGGGAATTGCCTTTAAATTCCCGAAGATCACTCCTGAAGTTTTGATCTTCAGCGGTGGTCTCCTCGTTCCCACCTCTCTACCTCCTTTCTCCTCTACTCTCTCTGGCCGTTGTGTTGCTGTATTTCGGGAATCCCGAGAAGACTGAGCGGTCATTGCGTTGACCGCTTCTCTCCTTACAGGTTCCCGACGGTTGGGCGGTCCGGGATGTGGGGAGTGCGAACGCGCTTTCCTCGGGGTCGGTGCCGTGCTCTCCATGTCCTCTTTTCTCAAGGCTGGCTTCTGTCTGGCCGACATGGCCTCACTTTGGCGACTCTTTAGTCGAGCCAAGTCTCTCGTCGGGTACACCGACCCGTGACGGAGGAAACTCTCCAACTCGTGCTCTGCAAGGCGGCTCTCGTATGCCTCTTGGCTTTCCCCCTTGCTTCTTTCTGCTGGCCAAGTATACGGGACCACGATCTCCACTTTGTTCTGAGTGTGGGAGACTGCGAGTTGTTGTCTCTCGAACCCTTCCAATCCCCGGAGATCCTCCCGTCTCTCTTCCCTCCTTCTTTGGCCTGTTGCTCCACCCACTGCACCTTCCTCCGTTCCTGACTCTCTCTCTGGCCTCTTGGTTTTATCCTCCCCTGGTCTCACCGGTTCCAACGGGTTGGGAAGCGGCACATCTGTATTAGGGAACATCAGTAATGATGCCCCTCTCGTAGCCGTCGTGTCCGGTTGGAACTCGCCCCCTGGCCTATGGGCGGATTGACTACGACTTCTCGTCATTCGTCCTTGACCTCGCGGTTCCACACCGAAGTCCGTCGATGGACGATGACGACTTTTCTCCATCCCTCTCTGCCCGATGCGATCGTACGGCATTTTTCTCCTACGTCTATCTCTCTGTCCCTCTCTCTGGCCTCTCTGCTCTCTCTCACGTCTCTCTGCAAACCACAATACAATTAGTTATGTCACTATTATCCCCTTGGTGGGAGATATCGCTTTAAGTCAGTCACGTGAACTTTAGGGATTCTACGGCTGTCTTCGGCGCGTAACACGAATACGGTGGGCGATAACACTTCGACTATCTCATAGGGCCCTTCGAATTTGGGTGCTAACTTAGTTGCGAACCTTTGGGTACCACTAGACAGTTTGTGTGTTCTACGTAACACCATATCTCCTACTTTAAATATACCCTCTCTACGGCCTTTGTTATAATATTTGGTTTGCCTCTCTCGCTCTTTGTCAATTAGTCTCGCTACTAAATCTCTCAGCGCATCTAATCTCTTAACCCGATCTATCCACTCGTCTGGATTGATTCTAACCACTTTATCTCTCTTTTCAATTTCTCTACGCAAACTTTTGACTGGCCTAGGATGTCGATCATAGTTAAGAAACGCAGGGGACGTTTTAGTCGCAGCTTGTGTCGCGGTATTCATTGCGTGACGAAACTCATGAATATGCAAGTCCCAGTCACGATGATCGGCCCCAATGAAAGTAGATATCATCGTCTTTAATGTTCTGTTACTTCTTTCAACTGGGTTGGCCTGGGGATGATAAGGTGGTGTTGTAATATGTTTGACTCCATATTCTTCTAAAGTTGACTTTAGAAATTTGTTGTCAAATTCTTTACCGTTATCTGATAGGAAATATTCTGGTGTTTCCCATCGAAATAACACCAACTCCTCAAACGCTCTGGCTACCGACTTTCCATCTGCTGACCTGAGGGGTTTAACCTCAACCCACCTCGAGAATAAATCTTGAAACACCACCAAGTATTTATAACGATTCTTACTCGGTGGAAACTCCATTGTGTCCGCTGCTACAACTGACCACGGTCTTTCGACTATCCTCTGGCCCATCATACCTACTGGTCCCGCTTGAGAAACTTTATGTACTTGGCATTGTATGCAATGCGTTACGAAATTGTGCACATCGTTCCAAATACCTGGCCAATAGTATTCTCTAGCCACGCGATCATAGGTCTTTTCTATTCCCAGATGACCAGCTGACGCTTGCGCATGCGCGTCCTCCATAACTCTTTCTCTGTACTCTTCTGGGACGACCAATTTCCACCCATCCTCGTTTCCTACTATCGGCACTAAAAGTGGGTCACTTCTATGGCGATAAAGGTTATCATTTTCCACTGTCCATCCTGGAAAACGTTGAGGGTGCTGGATCACTAACTCTCGGCGCTTGAGGTACCATTGGTCATCAATGGTTTCAAACGCGGACACTAACTCTTCTTCACTTTCTTGTAATCTGGACAATGCATCTGGGACATGATGTTGTGCACCCTTTCTGTGAACTATGTCAAAGTCCCACTGTTGCATTTCCAGTGCCCATCTCGCTAAACGACCTGTTGGGTCTCTTAAATTCCTCAGCCACTTAAGGGCACTGTGATCGGTAATCACATGAAATTTGTATCCCTCAATATAAGGTCTAAACTTTTTAATTGACCACAGCAACGCTAAGCACTCTTTCTCTGTCACGCTGTAATTTCTCTCGGCCTCCGTTAGGACTCGACTTATGTACATGACCGGATGTTCTCCGTCCTCAAATTCCTGTGTCAATACCGCTCCAATGGCGTAATCGCTGGCATCGCACTGTATGGTGAAGGTCTTGGTGAAGTCTGGGCGAGCCAACACTGGTGCCGAAGTGAACTTTTGTTTAAGCTTTTCAAACGCCTCTTGTTGTTCTTCTCCCCACTCCCACGTCCGGCCTTTATGCAGCAATCTGACCAAAGGTATCTTGATATCACTGTCCTTAGGAATAAATCTGGAGTACCAACCAACCATGCCTAAGAAACGACGAAGTTGTTTTATGTTCTTCGGTTCCGGATAAGTCATGACTGGTTCGATCTTCTTCGGGTCTGGCCTGAGTCCTTCGCTGTCCAAGAGGTACCCTAAATATGTGTCCCTAGAGCATCCAAACTCACACTTCTCTGGATTCACAACTAGTCTGGCCTCATTTAGCTTTCTCAACACTATCTCTAACCATTTGATGTGTTCCTCAAAAGTATCCGTGACTACTATGATATCGTCCAGATATCCGAAGACAAATGGTTCAAACTCTGGCCCGAAAAGTGCGTCAATAAGACGCTGGAACGTCATTGGGGCGTTCGTTAGCCCAAACGGCATCCTGCGATACTGCCACAATCCTGACCCTGGAATTGCGAAAGCAGTATACTTCTTGCTCTCTTCGGCCATTGGTATCTGATGATACGCGAGTTTCAAGTCGATTTTTGACAAGAATTTTGCTCTTCTGAGTTTATCCAAGATGGAGTCGATCGTCGGTATGGGGTACGCATCTTTCACCGTGACTTTGTTCACGTCTCTGTAATCCATACACTGCCGAAAATCGTTCTCTCCCTTTCTGTCAATAACTGGGGCGCTTCTCCACTGGGCCGCAGACGGTTCGATGATACCTTTTTTCCAAAGTTTCTGCGTGTTTTCCTGCGCCCATGTGATCATGATCGGTGACATCCGTCTCGGCCGATGTTGGACAGGTGTCTCATCCGTCATACGGATGTGATGTTCTGTTAGGTTGGTTACTCCAAGTTCGTCTGTTTCTGGCAGTACCCAACGATCCACTATGGCTTGGACAATCTGTCTCTGCTCATCATCCAATGCGGAGATGCCAGCACACTCTGCAATTATTATTTCTCCACTGTCTGTGTCTTCACTCTTGTCAAATTCGTGCCACTCTCCACCGAATACTCTCCATAAACCCTGGCCTAACTGGACTTCCATTTTCCAGGCTTTACAAAAATCAACCCCCAGTATGACGTCAGGTGTCAATGACTCTATGACCATGACCTCAAACTTCTGTACATAGCCATCGACTACCATGGTTAAATTCAAAAGTCCAGCGTTTTTGGTGGTGCCCCCTAATGCACTCCTAATTGCTGATCTGGACGGCTGTATTCGGTCCTTGTAAGGTTCGGCTACTTTGGAGCTGATTACCGAAATCGTTGCTCCGGAGTCGAATAATGCTTCATATGGTTTATCGCCAATGGCCATCCTAAAGAAATATCTATTCTCTGTCCTGGATCCATCCAACTTCTCAACCATAATCAGGTTTGGGTCAGCTGTGCCCATCACAGCCTTTCCCCTCCCCAGGACATTAGGTACCGGACCCACTTCCGTACTTTTAGTCCTACATTCCTCACTAACACTTCTCTCTGGCCTGCAATGGAGTGAGTTCTCCTCACTCGATCTAGCCCTACTGTCGCTTGGCACAAATTTGAACACATCATTCTCGGTTAACTCTTCTCTACAGACTTTCTCTCTCTCTAACTCTAACTCAATCTCTGTTTTTACCCAACTACAAGTCGCACCATCGTTAATTGGGTATTCAACCTTCTCTACTCTTCCCTGGCCTAAGATCCCTTCGGGCAGAGGGGGGGTACAAAAGGGTGTTGTGCCCCCCACGTGCCGTTTCCCAAACATGTCCTAAGTGTTGCACAACTTGTACAGGTTAGGAACGTCACTCCCGGGGTTTTACACACTAGACAACTCTCCCCTTGAGGTTGTCTCATAGGACATTTCTTCGCATGATGTCCTGGTTGTTGGCAAGCGAAACAAACGCGTTTGGGACATTCCGATGCACGGTGTCCCACCGTCTGGCAGGTGTAGCAAGGTCCCAAGAATTGTTTAGGACTTGCTGGTGTTGGAGCGCCACTCTGCCCCGTTTTTCCCCCTTTTTGTCCAAATGCTTTGGGGAAATTAGGTCTGGGTCCTCCTGCTACCATAGCTGCAAACGTTTGTATCGGCAACGAAACAAACTGCGGCTGCGTTTGGTCGGTCGTCTCGTTGGTCCCTTGAGCGCTAACGGTGGGGGTCGCTACCTTTTTTATAGCGTCCACCGCGTCCTGACCTTGGGCTTTCTCATTTTTCTTGGCCTTACTCTTCTTTTTATTCTTTTTAGTGGAGTGGTTACTCCCACTCGACTGTTTCTCCGATCCCGATTCATTTCCGAGTGCTGCTACCTTCTCGCTCTTTGCACTCTTATTTCCGGCCTTTTTCTCTGATTTTCCTTTGTACGCGGCCGATGGGAAAAGCATTTTCTCTTTTGGTGGAGGGGGCACATACTTCTCGTCCAAACTTCTCGTCTTCTCGAATTTCCTCAGAATCTTCTCCATCTGGCCAAGTGAGTCGTACTTCTGGCGATCCAGATGGCGCCTGTACTCGGGTAATAATCCTTTGAAAGCGATTTTATTTTGCCTCTTACGGTCAAGTGGGTACTTCATGTGTCCCAGGATGACTCGAAAGCTACGCAAATATGAAGAAATTCGTTCGTCCTTTCCTTGGGTCCTACTTTTTAGTTCGTCGATAATTTCCTCGTTATCGACTTTCACCAAGTACTCGTTTGTAAAGGCCCGTTTGAAACTTCTCCACGTTTTTAATTCATGACGAAGGGTACGGAACCAAATAATCGCATCCCCTTGCAAAATAATTGGGAGTGTTTGGAGTATATCCTTGTCAGAGAGTGTGGCACAGTCCCTACAGTCCGACAATCTTTCTAGAAATACCTCCGCATTCTCATTCTCGTACCCCTTAAATTTTAAATCCCATTCTTTCAAAGTTTTAAGAACTTTCGACCTACGGATAGATTCTACTACATTCTCTTCTCGATCCTCGCTCTGGCTTATCTGAGAATCACTTTCGGATTCCGAGTTACTGGAAGAATCCAAAGAATTGTTCCATCTTCTCTTATTTTCTTCCGACTTCTTGTATCCCCTCCTCCTGTCCCTATTATCTGCTCTACTATCTCTATTGTTGACTCTCATTTCCCTGGACTCTCTCTTTCTCTGGCCATCCTCACTACTACTCCTATTTGTGTTCTTTCTGTCCCGATTTTTCTTTCTCCGTACTTCCCTAAATTCATAGTCCTCTTGACTCTTATAGCTTCTGCTGTCCCCAGACTGACCACTAACGTTATAGTTACTAACGTTACCCCTACTTGCCCTACTCCTTACTTCGCTATTTCTCTCGCTTTTACTGCTCAACGATTCAAAGTCTAAGGCCCGTTGTCTCTTTGACGGTACGCGTTGGGAATCCTCGTCTTCCTTAGTAGAATGGCTGTTTTGTGCTAGGTTTTCTGGGGTAGGGTTAGTTATTCGCTTCGGTTCATTTTGAGCTATCGGCGATTCGTTGGGGTTCGCAGTCTTTCTCTGAGGGGACGAAATCCTCGCGTGTTGATGGTGGGTCAAACTATACCCTTGTCCGATTTTGGCCCTACATTGGCTCTGTTGAAACTCCCACCCCCCCTCGGAGTAATGTTTGTCAATTATTTCGGCCGCCCGCATAAGTCTTTTAAATTCGGGTGACAAATTTAATTTACCGAACGCCTCGTGTTGCTTTAATACATTAGGGGCCATAGTCGGGGATACTATTGATTGGGCGGGGGTTGACACTACCATGGTCGACATCCCTATCTGTGCCATAGAAGTGGTGGGGGAAGTGTTGGTAGTCATTGCCGTTGTGACTTATGGTGGTGGGGGTGTGAACTGTGGTGTTGATGGATTGATGGTCGGATTATCTCTACTGTACAATCTATCTTCCGCCGGTATTGTCGTACCCGCCGTTGTATTCCCCCTTTCGGTTAATGTACGCCCTAAAAATTCTTTCCCCCCCTCTTCAGAATCGGTCTCGTCTGACGATAATTTCTTCCCCCCTCTCCGTTGAGAGACATTTGGGAAGGGGCTGCTGTGTGGCTCTGACAATGCTTCCTTGAGGAATATTTTATCAGAAGACGCGCAATCATATTGTTCGCTAAATGGGACATCAATTTCTGGATCGAGGGACATTCTCAACTCTATCCGGAATAATCTCTCTTTAAGCACCTGCTCTGTACCGTTAATACAGCAATGGTGCAACAACAATTTTGTTACAACTTGTCCCGGTGGCATAAACGCAATTGTGTCCCAGGCCCGATTCGCTTCTGGAATTTCCATTAGCCTTCTCATTCGCTCGTGGTACGCCTGCATTTCGTCGATCGCTCTGGCCATTTTTATTTTAATTGAATTTAATCGACACGAGAGAATTAAATAAATTAATAAAAATAATTAAAAATTTAAATAAATTTTGAATTCGCGAAAGAATACGCAAAAAAAAACAAAAATTGAAAAATAAAATTTCAATTTGTATATCCGGCCCTGTAACCACCCACGCTTGTACAGGGGCGCACGATTTTTCTGGTGCGAATTAAAATTTTTCTCTACCGCGACTGACCAATGATTCAACTATAACTCTTTCTCTCTCTAACTCACTAGTAATAGTGAATCACGTCACTGGTATCGCGTTCTCTCTCTATCCAATTATCTTCCCGCCTGAATTTATCGTCGCGTGAATTTAACACATTTTAGATCACTGCGCAAAATCAAACGTCACGTGAATTTACTGAATTTTATTTCCGGACGAGCACATGGTCGAAAATTCCAATACTTTTAAATAATTTGCACTAATTGTTTAATTAGCCATTATTTATTGTTCTCGAAAAATAATCAATTTATTTAAAAATCAGCAAAAATATCTCACTGGCCCTGATAACGATAATTTCAATAACGGAAAATTCAATGAAAATTTTTATGACGTCACAATCGCGATCTCACAATTAATTAACACACCGATCTAAATTTTACACGGTATGAACATCGCGAAATTTAATTTAGAGAAATAATTGGGAAACACAATAATAAATTCGTCGGGCCAAACACAACTGGCCAAAATTATTTTTCCACTTGAAAAATATCTGGCCACAATAAATATACAATACAAAATTTTATTTCATTTCACATACAAAAAAAAATAAAATGTTATCACCAATTAGTAAATTTGTCGTGTCTCGCTGTTCTGACCTGGCCCCACGTTGGGTGCCAATAATTTATGACGTATAAATTTAATAAATTAAATTAATCTGCTAACATCAAAATCACTGGCCTCAACTAATAAAATATAAGAAAATTTATTATATAAATTTTCGCCGTCAGGCGCCAATTAATTTTTAAGATAATTAATAAACTATTTCACATCCCTTTTCACAACAACGAAACAACACCTCTGAGATGCTCTCAATCTCCAGAGGGAATTCTGCCAAAACACCGGCAAGCAGAAATACCAGCGGCGAGACACGACCTGGACAATGAATACGACTTACCCACGATGTATCCCTGACCACGTGTCCGGGCTTCTCGGCTTCTCAGCAGACTCTATGACAATGGTCCTCACTGCTACTATCGAATACACTACACACAAGTTCTCTTTGAAATTCACTTTTATTCAGTACAATACAAGAATAGACACCAGTTATACACAACTCAATATATATCACAATATATATTTTACTCCACGAGTTCCGCCTCGTGTAACACACGCGCTCGTACGTATATGTCTCTCCGCGACAGTGATCGTAATCGATTCTAATGGACGCCAATGCATTGGGATTTTCGGCGTCTCTCTATGCCTCATCCCACTGGCTTCGTCATATAGCTGTCTCTCTCTCTCCACCGTCACTGCAGCCTCGCTCCTTCTCTCTCGCTCCACAGTGGCAGTGACCTCTATCCTAAACTAATAACCAAAATTATTCGAGCGAGCGACATACATTCAAATTACTAGTAGGTCACCCGCCCGCTTGATCTCTACCTTACCGCAGCCTAGTACCGGCGCAGGATCGGAGATCAATAACAGATGTCGTGACGATTCACTCTGTCACAATACATGTATATACACATACAGATACATACATATACATTTTTTTTGTAAATATATAAAAAAAATAATAAATTCTTTTCTTTTCCCCTTTTTCCTCTTTCTTCTTCTTTCTTCTTCTTTTCCTCCTCCTCCTTTTCCCTTCCTTTCCCTTTCCTTCTCTTTTCCTTCTTAATTTATACTTATACTTAAAACTACTATTTATCAAACAATTCACCAAAGCAAATCTATAAACCCTAACTTAGATCTGAACCAACAGATTATCCTACACACATATTATATGTATTATATAATCACTCCCTTACCAATAAAAAAATTACCAATTTCCATAATGATCTCCAAGTTTGGAAAAAATACCAAAAAGTCCAGGTTCTCCAAAAAATGAAGAGAACCACCTAGCTTCCTTTCCAAAAAATCATAAAAGTTCCCTCTATCCTGTGTAAAAATTTCACAATTGTGCAGGTAATATTTTATTGAACTAATTTCTTTTCCACACTTGCAGATCGGGGAAATATTCCAACCCATCCTGTTGAAATGAACTCCTGTGCAAATGTGTCCTGTGCGGAGACGCGTAATTAAATTAATGTAACTCCTAGGCGCATCATAACCGGAGAACCAAGGCCTCTCTGTTTTCCTATCAACGAATTCGAAATATTTTTGTTTAGCTCTACCTGCATCGAAAAAAGGCCAGTTATATTTTAAGTGTGCCTCGTAGTCTTTGTGTATCATTTTCTCCATGTCTTCCTTCAACGGGAGAATATAAGTACCTATATTCAGATTTAGAGCAATTTTTGCTAAATAATCAGCCTCTTCATTCCCCTTGATTCCAGAGTGAGCTGGAATCCACATAAGCTTGATTTCAGCTTCTCTTTCTCTAATCAAAATAATACAGCGCACTATTTCATGGAGAATAGGGTCCTGGGCAAAGTCTCTCACTCTATTCTTAATTTTAATAAGTGCCGATTGTGAGTCGGTACAAATAAGGATAGAAGCAAAGTTTGTTGTTAACACATATTTTAGAGCTTGGTGTATTGCATATAATTCTGCTGATAAAGCTGAAAAACAATTATATAGTTTAGAGGCCTGTTTTATCCACCTTACAGGTATACAGAAGATAGAAGCTCCCACCGACTCCCCCTTTGGGTGTGCGCCATCCGTATAAATGGCCAGGGCCCTCAGAATGTTCACTGCCGACAGCGCTTTTCCGACAATATAGTCCACATGGTTCTTCCATGTCAATTTTGTATCCAATATTATTCCCAGATATAGCATTGTAGGTGCTGCTCTAATGATGTTATCATCAATCCTTAGAGAAATTCCAGTATGGTCCAGTTTCCTCCTTTCTAAAATGCACAACTGGGATTTTTTGGAGCCAAGCTCAAACCATACGAGAGAAGCCATGGTTTCAGTTTGGTCACTGCCTCTTCTAATAGCTTCACTGCATCCTTCACATTAGAGAACCTACAATATAACAAGATGTCATCGGCATATTGCAGCACTTTTACTCCAATAGGGAGTAAACAGTTTATCTTCCTTAGTACAAAGTTAAACAAGGTGGGTGACAGTACCCCACCTTGTGGTACACCTGTGCCACAAGAATTAGGTACATTACCTGGCTTACCAAAGATGAGCTTCCTGTCGGTGATCATGTGTGCAATGAAGTTAAAGATACGTTCTGGAACCTTGCAATCAACCAAATCTTCCAAGACCTTCGCAGGCAGCAGAGCATTAAACGCCCCCTTCACATCCAAGGCCAGAACCGCTGTTCCTTTTTTCTTTGCAAATCCGTTCATGGCATCTGTCACCAAAACAGAGACGCAATCAATAGCTGATCTATTGCGCCTAAAACCAAATTGGTGCGGCGGGATCAAACGTTTACTTTCCAGAAAGTGATCCAATCTGCGTTGGACCAGTCTCTCCATCAACTTTCCTGCATTGGATGTCAGCGAAATCGGTCGGTTGCCTTTACCGCCCGGCTTAAGAATAAATTTGACCAAAGACTCCCTCCAGGTATCAGGCAATTCTGAAGCCTGAAAAAGTTCATTGTTTATTGCATTATAATATACCTTACCCTCTTTTGGTAGATTAAAAAGGGCTTCATATGATATTTGATCTAAGCCAGGTGTAGATTCCCTGTTACATGCAGCTAAAGCATTATCAAATTCTTCCCCAGAAAAAAGCAGATTATAAGATGAACTGAGATCCGTCACCCTCAATTTTGGTGTAGGAATAACCTTGATCTCTCTCCTGATCACCTCCTCCTTTAGAACTGCTAAATCTTCGGCATCCGGGTCATTTGAAGAATTTGTCTGCACAATAAATTTGCCTTGAAAGGACCTAATAAGGCCCCAAATTCGTTTGCACCCCATAGTTGGATTTATTGAATTGCAAAGGTCTTTGAAAGACTTCTTTTTACTTTCCAGTAAGACCTTTGACGCTTCTTTCTCTACCTCAAGATAGTTCTCCAAATTTCCGTTCGATGTGTTCTTTATGTAAGCTTTCCTGGCCAGTATTTCTTTCTTAAAATATCCTCACACTCGTCCGTCCACCAGAGTGGTTTAACAGTAGATTTCACTGATTGACTCCTAGGTATATAGGCTCCTGCCTTTTTGAGATTGCTTATCGATGAATTGATAAAATTGTAATATTTTTCAGTTGCACCAAGTTGTTCCATTTGATTTACTTCCATGATAGACTGCTTTGTCATTTCCCTAAATGATGC